AAAAATGGAATTAGTGAGGCAAACCGGGTGCGACTGTCAATCTTGTGGTCTACAGCTAGCAATGGCTACTAAATGCTAAACGCACGTTTAACGGTGAACAAACTAAGGAGACGAGATGACGCACCGCACATCGTTGATTATTCACAAAGCATTAACATCACTGTAAAGACAAGAAAGGTCTATAGGTATACACGACGGACAGGGCACGAGAAGCAATAAGAATAGCTATATGATCAGATCGCTGTGATTTATCGGACCAGACAAAAACAAAAAGAAACCGATGCATAGATAACATGGTTAAGTGGCACTAGTTTGGCATGACCATAGTACAATTAAGGTGCTTGTTTAAATGCTTTCGACCGGTCACATGTTTGATCAGAATATTACAAGAACAATGGAGAGTCAATGTGGGGGAAAACGCAACAACCAGAACGGGAAACAAGCTGATGCACTGCGATAACTATTGCATGAACTGAGGTCAGATGTTGACGGGAGGGACAAAGAAACAATCAGTCGACGGGATCACAAACTACCTGTGCTGCGAATCAAGAGAATCACAAGATGATCGTCTTTTGTATATTCTTTTTGTAAATGCACAGCACGCTCTTTTAACAAGTCAAACGCAAAATCGCAAGGTGGAAAAGCATGCAATACACCTGTGACAGGAAGATTATCCGAACTGTTAGACGAGGATTGGGTTGGGTTTAAGGGATTCAAAAGCACTACGCCGGCTGAATCCTTAGTCCGTAAATAAGCTATCAGATTACGCAGTGGTCGTTGTGGTTGTTTTATCAGATCGTTCAGGTCCGTACTAGGCCCGGAACAGGAGGCCGAGGATACATTTGTGGGGGACGGAACAGCCAGAAGGACACAAAATCCAGAGTTGCCCGCTGTTTGGATTCGTTGGCTGACATCCTCCAACTTCATGGGGTCTAGCTTCATGCGTTGTGTAATGCGCAAACACACTACCTGTTCCGCAGTGGTGTCTTCTGTGTGCCCCTTAGCCCGTCTAGATGAATCGTCTTTCTCCATTTTACTGCGCACGGATCGCGAGTCCTGAAAGTCAGTGCGACATGACATGAACTGATCTACCAAACTTTGGTCACCGCGTAGGATATGCATGCGACAGGGAAAACAGCTTGATTTAAGGAAGAAAGCACCATCCCAAGCCGTTGGTAAGCAAGAAGCTAGCTGTTCTACATTCACCGCGGTTTGAGGGCTTAGTTGAACATTAGTAGGCAGTGTTGGTTCTTTGGCGTTTGACTTTGGAACACTGGGTACCCTGGACATGACAGGAGTGTCAGGTGTATCCGTCATCTCACCATCAGATGGAGTACCACGGTATTTCTTTTTGGGTGTTGGCTGATCGCGGACAGAACGGTATGATTTCCGGGCTGAATCAGATCTCNNNNCCGGCGACGAGCCTCTGGTATTACGACTGTAGCTGTGACTCTCACTATCGCTGGTCCGACGATCACGCTTTAGACGGCGAGCAGGTTGATTGGTGAATGAAGATTGCTTTTCATCATCAGCGTAACTTGAATCACGATTCGCACGAGATGTGTACGAATCTTTGCGACTGGAATGATCAAAACTGTTGGCAGATGCAGCAGGCCGTCGACGCGATAATAATGGATCGTTGACGATGTGCGACTCGTCGGTGAAGTCCACGCGGATACGATGATTATCTCCGCCTAAGGGGTAACCCCGAAGTGCATTCGCAGCAATCGTCGCCAGTTCCACATTGGGGAACAAGACATTAGCATAGTTTTTTCCCGAAGGCCATATAATTCGTTCCGGTGGACCGAACTCATCCAGAAGGGTGGCAAACGCAGGATAAGTTATCCACGGACCGAGTCCGCCAATCCACAAACAGCGGGTGGGGACTACTTTTCCGTAACCGATCTTACAGGTGAACTGGCCTATTAGTTCTCCCGACATGTCGACCTTGGCTCGATGTGCCATATCCAGATTTACGAACCGAATAAACGCGTATGCATTCACTCCTGACTCCGGTTCACGACGTTTAATGTCAATATCTTCAATAAAACCATAACGTTCGAAGAGGCTTCGCAAATCTGCTTCGGTGATTTCGGGCATCAAATTTCCAACGAACAAAGTACGTGTTGCACTGGGATCATCCTCAGGATCACGGTGGTCTAAGTGATGCGGAAATCGGACATTGGAAGCGTTGCCGAAATCTCTTTCCCTTCTGTAGTGCCCCTGGTTCGTACGAGATCGGCTATTGTTACTGTTATGCGCGTTGTTAGCGTTATTGCTGCTACCAGGAGTACTCGCATATCGGGAACTAGAAGTGGTGCGAGCAGAGCGACCAGAGGACGGCAATGCGTTACGTAAAGTGCTCTGTTGGTTTGCCCCAAACGCCCTGTTCGCGTGGGCTAGCGAACGGTTGTTGATACCCATATTGCCGACGCCCAAAGCAGCTGCCATCGCTGCGGCATTCATTGCTGCAGCTGCAACAGCGGCTACTGCCGCAGCTTGGTTGTTGTTTCCAGAATTTGTGCCAAGCGACCCGGAACCGAAATCAGAGGACGTGGGAGGGATAAGACCAGCGTTCATCACAGCGGCGGCGGCAGCCGCTGCAAACACAGGATCCACTCGATTAATTGATGTCGATGATAGGGAGGAGAGAGTGTTACGATCAAGTTGTCTTGCCAGCGCTGCACTGAATGCAGGATTCTTGTCCATGAGTTTGCTGGATACAATGGGAACGGGTGAAATGAAATAGAAAACAGATGTAAAGAATGCAAGTAAGGACCAAAGGGATTCCGCCACCAAGGCAGAATGAAAAAATTTATAGAAGCACCTAAATTTGTGTGCAATGCATAATACAGAACCAACCGTACCGACCTCTGATATAAGAGAGTTAGGCTACGGCAACAACGCTACGGCGATTTTACGGTTAAAATGTAGAAATGGCATGTGCATGTAAATCACAGTTGTGCAATCAAGTCGACTTCACCAACAAACTGACCAAGATTCTCTTTAATCGCTGCATACACTCCGTCCTGGAAATGCCAGGGAGCTGCTGTTTTTAATATCTGCCAGGAACAAATCTTCAAGATAGAAACACGCGTCAAACGGAAAATCAACCACTTACACATTCTTTATTCAGATAAACCACCACCTCCTGACGTGACGTAATAGTTGATATACTTCCCATGAGTGCAAATAAGCAGAGAAACTAATATGAAATCGTTATGCTAAACAACTGGACTCGGGGGGATTAACAACCCAAACCTTTTATTTTCGGAGTTATCGACTTAATTACTATTGTGTTTACATTGTTCAAATAATATATACAGAACTAAACAAAAACAAACATTCAGAGGGGGTGCATCGAGTTTCACCCAAACTAATGAAATGTCGCCATATGTGGCACAAAAACCACATTCAACTCAAGGAAACTCTCTCGCTCTTGGTCCACAAAGCTCTTACATTCCAACGACAGGTCAAACTAAGTACCACAATATATTATTTTCATCACCTTCATTCATTTGTTCTCCATGTTTTGTTTTCCCCATTTTCATTTTATCTTTCTGCATCCCTTTATAACTTTATCATCAGTTTTGTATTGGCACCATGCTTGTTCTCAAACCGGTGTGAAATAAATATTTTTCATCACAAACGACGGAACACGAATTGTTTCGCTTATTGTTCTATCAAGGTGGTCGCTTAAAGACTAGGAAATTCACGGGATATCTAAATGCACATCTCTAAACAAATATTTCAATCAACAGATTTGTTTATCAGTTGTTACCCGATAGTTGGACTAATGTCGATTCTTCCTTTAATGAAATCCTGCTTCAAGTCAGGATGCAGTAAGCGAAGCTACTTTTTTATTACACAATTTGTGTGATGGACAGCAGACGGGGTGAACCTCATAGTCAGATATACCTGCTATTCTGTAATGGAAACCGGTAACCCAGGACTTGGAGTGGCGAACCACATAAGGCCGCTAGGATAGGCATGGTATTGAACCGGACGACAGCAAAGCTGCCTACCACCAAAGTTGGGTGGTGATAGTGGAGTTCGAACGTCGGACCATGAGGTCTAAAACACGTCGGTAACCGCGACTAAATCACTGGGTCACCACCACCCACTGGCGCCTGCACAATAATATGCCGTTTGGTGGCTTATCATAATTATTTGATCACAAAATCCTAAATGATGCAGAAAAATGTGCGCAGCCAATTTACCTACAGTTAATGTACCCACCGATCTCGGTGGCTGCTTTTTTATCATTCCGTTGAAGAATAGATAGAGAGCAAGACAATGACGGAAAATGCATAGCTTTAATGTTCGTATTTCATATTTCTGACTTAGACCGCTACAAGTCCAAGACCAGTGAGGTTGTACCCTACCGCGTCCGCATCACACAACGAACACTTGGATGATTAACGGTGAATATGAACAGGAAGCGGACGATAGCCTGTAAGAATATGACGGATTTTAGCCTGGAAAGCGACATGTATAAAGCAAAAATCCATATCCCTCTACAATGTCGTAGGAACCATTGAGACCTACGCGACCCTGACTTGCTACATGAGGCCAACTTATTCGCGCAGAAAAAAGCTTTAGGGGTGACTCAAATGGATAATGAACGAACGAAACTATCGGCGACACCAATAATTCGTCACCAACTGAGTGTGTCCAGCAAAACACCATTTAATAACCTAGGCTCAACTTCAACAACTGGTTTACTTATTAAGGTCTTGCGTATCAGGTAACTGAACTTAACGGTTGTCCAAATATTAGTAACCACAACGTTCTTGGCCGCTAAAGCACCACCGCTATTCCTTAACGCTTCAACAATGTACTGCAAGTAGTGAAAGCAACAGTACTTGTGTTATAATTCCAGAAGGCCGTGCTGGTCGGGGATAGTTCTTTATTGAGGATTACAGATGGGAGGTCAGTAATTTTGAATGCATAACACAAAAA